TTACAGCATGCATATAATTATATATCATATAAACACATTACTGCAGTAGTTTCTATAGGCACAGTTCCAGGAACAATCTGGGTTTGTTCTAAATAACAAATACAATGTCACTGCAAAGTGTGGGAAAGAGTGTATAACATCCAGTGAAAATGCTCATGCTGTCAGGACTATCATTTGGCTGTTATGAAGATAATAATACAAGAAAAAAAATTAATTAGATTTTGTTAGGAAGGGGTTAGAGATAACTGCTTTGCCAAATTAGTGCTCTGAAGATAAGACCCAGCTCAGTAGAAAATTCCGTACTGTCACTGTCTAACTGGCAGGAATGTATGAAAGGGAGATCAATCAGCTGTTCTGCAAAATAAATTGAAAAATGTTTTGTTTTGTTTTGAGAAAGGTGAGGAATAGGAACTGTTAGGGTGGAGCTGATAATTGCCAGCTGCAGATCTAGTTGGTGATTCAAGTATATCAAAGGGAGTGATGGACAAATATGTAGAATATGCAGAAGCACAGCTGATTGGTTACGTGGACCAGTGGTGCTTGCAGCTCTGTGACAACGTTCTTTGTTTTTTATTCTAAGAATGAATTTTCTCTACTGCAAGTTGGTTCTTGAAATTAAGACTTCTGTTGCATCTCTGTGTTCAGAAACAGAAGATATATGGTGGTTTCTTCTAAAGATTCCCCTCTATTACTATCTTTATCCACTTGTGAAATCTGGCTGGAAAACGCAACAGATATTTTTCCAAGAATAGTCAGAAGAGGATTCCCTAAGCAGTGATGAGGGGATCACTGATGGGTTTTGAGTTTGTTCACAGTGGCTCTCTGAAAAACAAACACACAAAACCTTGCAACAAACAAAATCCGTATCAATTACCTAGTTGAAATATGCTGTAGGGAACTGAAAATGTACAAGGATGAGAATGTATCATTCTGTCAGCTTTGTCATAACCAAAATAGCACTTGTCACTTGTGGCTGTAGTTTTAGTGTAGCTCCAGTGGACTAACCTTTTCTGTAAGCCATGCAGCTCAAGAAAAGCTTGAAAGGCTCCAGTATGGTGCCAGTGCTTGATTGCCCATAAAAAGCCACTTAAAAGCAGATACAAAACCTGCCATAGGAACTGTGAGGTCAGTCTTCTTTTCTACCCCAAATATTTCAGGACTAGCATCTTTTTTTTCTTCTCTTTTCTAGAACATGGATTATGGGAAAATTGATCAAATTTATTACTTCACATTCCTGACATCTTTTTATAGTTTTAGTGTTTTACTCAGTCTGGGGTATAAAGTTTAAAACACCCATTTATTAGAAGAGATTTTGTTTAGAATTGCTTCACTGCAGAAGAAAGGAAGTGTGCTTCTAATCCAGAAAAAAAGTCAGGTCTTTATGTGGATACATAGATTCAGTACAGTGACAGAGTATAGTTGTTTTGTTTAATGAATAAGACCTGTGGAATTTGTTGCAAATTTTCCCTTTGAAGAAAGAAGCTTATCTGGATACGTTCCAAAAAAATATTTTGGACAGTACAAAGTGAAACACTTTGCTTGTAACAACTTTTAGAAACGCTGGACATGTGATCTCCGTTTGCTCTCATAACAACTTTGGTGATGATGCTTATCATTCTTATTACTATTATTATTTTTATACAGCTGATTAAATGTCATAACATTTGGAAATGAATGTTCTGTTTAATTGCAGTAGAAGGACAGCTGTTAGGTGTAGCGATGACTGTTCTTTATTTCACTGTCTTTGAAGTTTAACTCCACCCTACAAAGCACCTTCTTCCTGCTGTATAACCATAATTCTCACTGTAAAATGCTTGCACAAGATTCCTGTGTATTGACATCCATTCAAAAACAATTCCAAGATTACAAATCAAAACTGCTTGAATCTGAGACACTGTAAAATCACCTCGTCACTTACCTTTAACAAAACTTTGTGCTAAGACAGTTCTGAAATACTTGGTTCTGCTCTAGTCAGCAGTGCAAAATACGCAGCACAATCTCTTCTATTCTTCCAGCATTATCAGAACTATAAGCATGTGAATTATAAAATTATATACAAATATTTTACTAGCAAGTTCTCTTATGTGTCAAATTGTTTTATTTTGCATTTTTTCTATATTTTCTGTATGGATTCCTATAAGGTAACTCTTTGTTAGCTCAGTTACTTTCCTTTTGAGCTGTATTTTGCTCGGTCTTTAGCCCAATCGGTAGTGACGAAACCTTTTCAAATTCATGATTCATTATTCAGATTTTGATCATATTGTATCCCCAAACTAAGTAACTTTCATAAATTGCAATACAGAATTTCAGTGAGATAATGATGATCCAAACATATAACAGATTTATTTTTCTTTTTTAGAAAGGAAAAAAAGTTATTTTTCAACTTTGCATTTTATTGTTTTTCTTCAGGAATTCTGGCACTGTGCTGGCCTTTCTCTTGTATATTAATTATTGATTCTTAAACTTGAAATTAAATATCATCCTCAATTCCTTTCTGAAGACAGCTAGTAGGAATAAACCCTTCTGGTTTAATTTTGTGATGGGGGCTCTGACTGTTTTGTGGTGTGTTTTTTTGTTTTGCTTTGTTTTATTTAAATAACAACAGACTCTAGTTCCTGGTTTAGCAGACCATTGTAGACTTCCTGGAAGGAAGGTAAGCAGGTGACCTCTCCCAGTGCAGTCAGCTCTGTAACACGCTGTCTGTCATGAGAGTGATTCGTACCCTCTGCAGCAAACCCAAACAGCTTCCAGACTAAGAATAGAGATTTCTGGATTTCCTCGGGTTTTGCAACTCCTGACTAATTCTAAACAAGTGTGTCTGGTTTGCATAAAGGTTGATCTCTTACCAAGTTTGTTGTGTTACTCTTTGTTGCTCTTTCAGGTATTTCTAGGTGGTCTTTGTTTTGTTTTGATTTTTTTTTTTTAAGCAGATACTTCTAATAGAGTTACTCCTCTATAAGTGGTCTTACATTCTTGAACCTGTAAAAGGAAGAGGAATAAGCACTTTTCTCTATCCACTACAAGTGACTCTATAAATAATGGCTTTAAGTGGCAGCAGGGAAAACTTACAGTAAAACCGAAGAGAATTCTGATGAACACAGTTCAACACTGGAATCAGTTTTCTACAGCGGTAATGTTGTTACTAGAAAGAGATTGACAAACCTTAAGGAGCTTTTAGGTATAGCTGATCCTGCTTTGGCACGAGAGAAATGACCTCTTAAGATTCCTTCCTCCTCTTGTCTATGAGAAAGAAAAAAGTGTGCCTCAATACTTTTTAGCCTCAGCAGATGCTAACTTAGAGTTTTCCTTTTCCCATCAATGCAGAAACTATGACCCTGATATACTTTTTTTTTTTTTCCGTGAAGTTTATTGATTTAATACCTCCTCAGTTTGTGTGGCCTGGAGAAGCAGGTTTTGCAGTTGTATAGAACAAAGATAATCATGGTGCTTCATAGTCATCTTTAACTTTTATTGTAAGACTAACAAAGGATTTTTAAAAAATGAACTAAATTATAAATGTCATTGTTGCATGTTTGGACTGTCATGAAAAAGGCAAAATAAAGAAAAACTGCAGCCATGCATAACTTTGCACAGAAATGTAATAGGAACAGGGACCAGTTTGGCCTCCACAAAATCCTGCCCCTGAAAAATCTAATTAGTAGAGAGATGGGGAAAACAAAGCCACACACAGAAATCAACTGTTGTTTTTAGGAAGCTCTCCTTCATTTCCCCTTAAAAGTATATGCCATAGGGAAATTCTGACTTTGTCATCTGGATCTCCGAAATTGTTATCTGCTAAGCCAGGATACCTTTTCTAAGTGGAAAGACGTTAATCTCACAGAGCCAGGGGAAGGGTAGTTAAACTCATTTGACAGAGATAGCTCCCTCCTGTCCAAAATCTTGGAATGAAATTCTCTGCATGTGTTTATGCATTCCGTGATATCAGAGGTCTTTGTACTGTGTTTACTGAACAGCTTTTATGAGATATAAATACCAGCACATTCTGGTAAGTTTCTAACAAACAGAATGGTCTACTCAATCTCAATATGGTCCTGTGTTGTAGCAGATTGGCTACTATACTTCAATAATGGGAAATACGTTTAAATTTTATCCAGTGGTGTGTATATTTTATAAATTTAGATACCTTGTGGGTGTATAGAAGCTGATTGTACGCCATTGTTCATTACGTGCCTTATATCAAGCTTTGTTCCTATTCTTTTCTAGTCACACATGAGCACTCTTGAAGCTTCCTGCAGAACTGGTTTAAACTAGTCGCTCCTGCCTAAAGGACATTCTATTTCTTCTGCTCCTGTCATTATAAAAACTTATTATTGATAGTTGGTGATTTTCCAGTACTCTTCTTGATTCATAAAACTGCAGACGGGGTGCATGCAGATCAGCCATGTCTCTGAGAAAGTGTGATAGGTGGATAGATGGATAACTGATGGGTCATTTATGAAAGGCTGATGATGATTACCTCCTATAATTGATCAGCTGCATTATCAGCCAACTCGCAATTAAGAGATAATAAGGCAGTTATTAAGTTAAGAGCTCTGGAGGTGATAGTTTAAATTGCACTGACCACAGAATTAGTATTTTGTGTACTTCATTCTAACTATCTGCAATCACATCTCTTTCTACTACACTGAGCTGAGTTTAGCCATGTTCTTTGCTGTGACATGGTTTCATTCTACTTTGTGGATTATCTTCCTGACAGAGTGGTTGGGATGCTGGGAATGGGAGAGACATCTTTTCTGATTTAATTAAAATGGTTATGACTTCTTGAGGTGGGAATTTTACCAGTACCTTTAATGGCTGAAAAGAATAGCTGATAAATCAATGAAGGTATGACACAGACCACACACTCAGACAAAGAACTCAAATATACTTGCCACAACTTATTTATTTATCTTTCTATTTTCATTTGAGAAAACTTTTTGATGATTATCTTAAAATAAAATGTCTTGTTTCTCAGGTAATGTAAATAAGCATGGATGACCAATGTCTCTCTTATAAAAGAAGTAGAAGTTTCTCAAATTGATTACCATCAGTAGCTTCTCAGGTAAGGACATCTCTGCACAAATGAAAATAGTTGCAAAAGAACAACTTACTTTTGAGCCAAACAATAGAAGGTAGAGCGGGAAAGCTCAAGTACTACCTACATGTGAATAGATTAATGTAGAAAACAGAATCTAGTAATACTTAGATGTGATAGAAAAATATTTTGCTGAAAAGTGTAGACTCTGATGTAACCATGAAAACCACAGCTAATGTAGATTTAAATAACAGCATGTATTTCTGTTACTGTGCACATGTAAACTTACATACCTATGTAAATCATCAGTGTTCCACAGCAGGGTACCTCTTTAGAGTGCTGCTTGCACAGAGTAACCATCACCTTGGGATGACAGGATGACTGTTAAGCTTCTTTAAGTGGAGAACCAGGAGGCAGTTAGTGAAAGCTGAGGTTCTTTAGTCTCTCACTGTTCAATGAACTTTGCTCTCATTCTGTCATCCTATATGGGATAAGTATGAAAAGACCTCACTTGGAGGAAGGTGCAAAGTATCACATTATTCACAGGGAAAGAATAAATCTCCGTATCACAGTAAGTTATTTGAGAACATCATCTACAGCCTGAATGAATGTGGATGTCTAGAGAAGGCATATGGGAAAGGCTGCACCTGTAGAACCAAAATATTATTTTGCATGATACTTTTGAACCTCTGATCTGGAACAAAATTTACAGAAGTTGTAAAAAGAGTAATCATAGTGAGAGACTTAAGATTAGAAAATATTTGCTTGGTCAGAATTACAATACTGACCCAAATGGTGAGTTGTATGTTACCCTGCTGTGTGCATACCTGATTCCTGAAATGTTAAAGCTAAATAATTTGGCAGATCAGTGTGATGTTTCAGATTCTAAAGCTAGTAATCTTTTCAGAGAATTGGCTTGCACACTTGTTTTCAATTCTAATAGAAATGGATGGCAGAATTCCTGCTGTTCCATCAGGAATGCTCTGTTCATTTTTCTCATGCACCAGTCATTGATCATTCACTTTCAACTTCCATTTTCTGAGTCATACTGTGTATAATTAAGAGTGAGATACTGAAGTAAAAAGAGTTGCAGGATTAATGTTTTTGCTTCCCAGAGCCTATTTCTAACACTAGGTAAAGAATATTTGCTTGGGACAGAGAGTGACTGTTTTGACTGTTTTTACTAGCATGGCATAGGCTTAGCTGTAATTTAGCACAATTAATTATTGTTTTGTGGTTGAGTAGAAGGGCAAAATAGATTGGCCAGCTGCTGTGTTTACAGTCGGCATGAGCGAAACAAGTCTGAGAACAACAGTTAGTGGAATTGGGTCAAAATGAAAATGCCTTCCTCAAGAATCCTCAACAGTTCTGACTTAGAAATATAACCTTTCAAATTGAGAAATTAAAATATACATTTTACTCAAATGTTTTATTTTTACTTCTCCAGTTTGAAATGTAATTAGAAGTAGTTATAAAGCTAGATGTAATGGCACATTCAATCTCTACCAGCAAAATAATCTTGTTTTTTTTTTTTTTTTTTTTTAAGAGTGAAATGAAATTTAAAAAAAAAAAAAGTCACCCTTCATTGCATTCCAGTATACACAGCACAATCAGAAAACCAAATATTTGTCACTCTATACAAGGTTCCTATCTGAAATCTTTGAAATCTTTCTTCATCTAGATTAAGTCTGTACTGCAAAAAAATTTTAAATGTAACAAAAACATTTATGCTTGAACGTGTAATAGAAGTCATTGAATTAAAATTCTCAAAAACAAAATATCAAGTCGTGCTTAAAAGAACTGTTTCATGTTTATGCTGCCAACTTGCTGATCTTGCATAAAGTTGTTCCCTTACTAAGGAGTTGGTTTGAGTAACGCCCATCATCCAAAAATGTTTTACCTTGTAGGAGATCTACATTTCAATCAGCTGATGAAACAGATGTGGGAGGATTGTCATGAGCTCTGCTTCTGAAATCTTAAAGAAGCAACTACAGGTCTGTGGAAAATAAAGTGCCATCAAGTTTGTTTCTTGTTTGTTTGCTTGACCAGTAAGAGACAGATTAGAAATTTAAGATTTCTCATAGACAGACATAACGGAAGGGCTTGAATTGAATAATGTCAGGTAGTGAAATTCTGCAGAATGGTTTGCTTTTAAATAATAATGTTTTAAAAAGCAAAACCAAAAGATTGGTAAACATACCTGTAACCAGGCAAATTTTCTGTATTACATACAGACAAAAGAGCATAAATTCAGTACTCACAGAAAAACTTAAAATTTCAGGTATGATATAGGAATATAGCAACGTTTGTAGGTTGCTCCAAGGATAGAAATTGAAATCTCATAATAAAAGGATATATGCTTTTAAATCATAATTTAAAAAATATATTTAGCCAAACAATATGATGTAAAGGAAAGGATGTGTAGGCCACAACATGGAGACAAATCACATGTATTTCCATTAGCTTGTTTCCATACTAGAAGTGTGGTCATGGTAGTATGAAGCAGGAGGAGCTGTCCCTCTTCCAGTTTCTGTGAGCAGGTTGCCAGAGCTCTTTAGATAGTGTTCTAATCTCTTCACTGCAATGACATGCATTGTCCATAGAACTTTCTATTAATTACACTTGTAGTTTTAAATTCCCATCATCCTTCATACCTGGCCATAGAAACTTTGTAGCAATTGAAAAATGTGGACATAATTGTGCATCTGAAATAAAGTGCAACTTAAACCATAATTTCTTTTTCATAGGTTACTGGGTGGAAAAGCAGTCATCTTTTTAAAATATACATCCCATAATGAGAAGGTATTCCCTTGCTTTTAGTATTTTTATACAAACTTTGAACTTAGACAAATTCCAGATGTTCTTCTGTTATTTGCTTGATGATTTCTGATTTTTAAAGACAGACCAGCTTTTCTTATGACATATTTTTAGATAGGTCCAAGTAAAAACAAAGATAAATAAACAAACACCCAGACCCCAATCTTGTTCTCCCTGGAATCCCGGGTACTAACATTTATTTTAAAGTGTGTCACAATCTCAACTCCTTTATCTCCTTTATTAATGAGGATTGTTCCTTAGGCAGTCTGTCCAGGAGTGGGAAATGCAAATTACTGTTTTGGAATTAAACTCATTTCCTGCTCTTTGGTCATAATGAACATAATATCTTTCCTTTAATGTATTCTGCTCCATAGATCAACTATTACCTTGCTGTGTTCCATATGACTGCAGGCCCTTTTCCATTATCAGTTTTCTTTAGAGCATTGCAGAACTACAAATTAAAATTGATCGTGTAATACAGATATCAGTGGGCTTTTGCAGCATTCCTGACATACACTTACCATCATCTTTTGATAGTTACTGTGTATGAAGGCTTAAATAAGGATACAGTTCTGTACTTAGCAGACCTTGTTTTATTCCTAAGTTAGTATTGCAGTCATATGTGGTAAACGATGACTGACAGTGTTTCATTAAAATGAGGCAGCCACTCTTCAGCATGCTGAATAAGGTCTTTAATGGATAGGAGAAATGTTGCTCAGCGTGTTTTTTTGGTTTGATCACCAATCTCATGCATAGTATTAATTACCTGAAACAAAGCAAATTGGCTATTAAATAACCTCAACAATTTAAACAGGAAGATGGTTGGAACAAAAGAATAACTTCTGCTTACGGCTAAGTACAGTATTGCATTATTTCATTTCATGGAATGAAATACAATCTCTTGGGCTTTTGAGCTGCTGAAGATACTGACAGCCATCACAAAAACAGCGTCTTTATAAAACAAAGTGATTCTGTGCAGAATTTTTTGTTTGTTTTTCTGCTCACAGTTTTACCATAGTATGAAGATTATTTTTCACGTGCTGGTACAACAGAAGTAGAAGGGCTATATTTGCATGTTTATGATAATTCTGGATGATAAATCGTTCTAGCTCCTAATCATTAGATTCAATTTTTAAGTCTGTTTTTGTTTGTGTATTCAAATGACTTTATGTTCTTTTTGAAATGTATAAACATGAAGCTGTAATTGATACCACGTAATTTTTTTACAAGAAAAATTAATGAGTTTTCCCTCAGTCTTGCAACAGTTCATTTTACAGTCTGATCACTAGTTACTGCCAGTACTGTGACAGCCTTTAAAACATAGCCTAAGCTCTGTTTAACCTTCTTGCTGAACTTTCTTACCACTGAAGCACTATAATGTATGAAGAGGTGTAAAATTCTGAAATAATGTTTGAACCATTCCAGATCCTGTCTTGCTATCTATGCGCTGCAAGGTCCTTTGTTAAAATACAACGTTTCTACATAGAGTACAGTGGATACAGTTGTTGTGGATTACAGGAATGCTGACATGGAACATGTAAAGTGATGGACCCCAAAGAACTGCTTATTACTGCTCTAGTGCAAGACTTTGTGGCAGATAACTGCTTAACGGCAGTCAAAAAAAGCAAGTGAAACATTAGAAGCTATTAAGAAAGAAGCAGAACAAAAGAACAAGCACCATTGTTTAAATCCATGATTTTACCGCTTTTGGAATACTACGGAAGAGAGAAGAGCACAGATCATCCAAGATATGGAATGACATCTGTATGAAGAAAATTGAAGGTTTTTGTTGCTTTTTTTTTTTTTTTTTTTTTTCTAGCCTGGAAGAGGGGGCTCAAGTTCGAAGCTATGAAGTTATACGGAAGAACCAGAGCCTGTGGAAATAGGAGTCAAATTCAGAAGGAGGTTCTTAATGCGAGGGGGAAGATCTGCTGAACGTTCTTTCCAGAGGACTTAGTGGGTGCAAGGAGTTTACCTGTATTCAAGGTGGGTATCAGACAAGTCCTTATATGTGAGATTGGACTAATGAGAAAACATGAGTTTGAGATCTGACACTACAAGAGCATATCCAGACAAGGGCAGTGAACCTGGTGAGGGATCTGGAGCACAGGTCTTATGAGGAGCAGCTGAGGAAAGGGTGTTTGTTTAGTCTGGAGAAGAGGAGGTTCAGGAGAGACATTATATGTCTTTATTGCTCTCTGAAGGGAGGTTGTGATGAGGTGGGAGCCAGCCTCTCTTCCCATGTAATTAGCAGCAGTACTAGAGGGAATGGCCTCAAGTTGTGCTGGGGAAGTTCAGTTGGATGTTAGGAAGGATTTCTTCTTGGAAAGTGTGTTCAGACACTGCAATGGGCTGCCCAGGGAGGTGCTTGAGTCACTGTCCCTGGAAGTGTTCAAGAGACGTGTAGGTTTGTACTAAGGAACATGGTTTAGTGGGGAAATACTGGTGGTAGGTGGACAGTTGGTCTAGAAGATATTGAATGTCTTTTCCAACCTTGGAAAACCTATGGTTCTATACTGTGCTAATGAAATACTCAAAGTTGAAAATAAGTTGTGAGTGTTAAGTTGTAAGAGGGAAGTGTTACACCAGCTATCTGGATCAGTGTCTGCAGACAGGCACCTTCCACCAAGCCTCCAGTGCTTCCTTCAAAGGAAGGATCAGAAAACCAAAGCCTCTACTTACTACTGCTTGTAACTTCCTCTTCAGTCTCTCAAGCTTTCCCTTACGCTTGAAAGCAGATTTTTATCTCTGGCCTCATCAAGTTATGGCTGTTTGCAGCTCCCTGCCATTTTGCTGGCTTCTTAACCGTCTCTTCTCAAGCCTTTCAGTTTCCTAACCCCATGTTGTTTAGATATCTGTTGCCCTACAAAGAAAAAAATAATAATTTAAGTGTAGACAACGAGATATGATGTGTTCTGCAGGCCTCTTCCCAGACAAGTATTTCTCTCTCCTATTTTATCAACACACAGTTTTATTCCTTCTCACTACAGTTATCAGAGTGGGAATGGAACTCCTTTAACAGATAACTGTGATATAGAATGGAACATCATTTTTGATGTATACAAAACTTTTGTCAGATTAAAATCCACGCACTTTGAGGCTCTCATTAACTGGTACAGATTACCCTGCATGTATTACTTACTGTTATGATTTATGACTGCAATAATCCTTGCCACATCTACAAACTCTTCCGGAAGTTATTTTTTATTTCCATTACAATAGGATGACTTGGGCCTTTCTTTCTGCTGACCCTTGTAAGAAATTTCCAAGCCACTCTTTATTAAACAGGGAAGTATACTGCAGGCTGGTAATGTTTCCTGAGCTGGGTAACTAATTGTTTTCTACGTGATACATTACACAGCTCTTGTTTTTCCTGGAGGAGTATTACTGTAGTTTCTGTGGTTTCCTACTGAAGCATAAAGCAAGTTCTAATGGTTTGTGTAGAAACAGAGACCAGGCTGTTGTAACCATATGCTATTACTTTCTGTGAGATTTTTTTTAATTGTTATGTCAGAAGCCATCAATGTTTTTTTTAAGCTGGTGAACCGAGAATGAGGTTTTAAGAGAAAATGTGTATTTCTCTTCTGTCTGGGTAAGTCATTTCTTCTGGCATACAGCACCTTTGAAACCAGCAGGACAGAACTTACTACAAGTGTCTTTAGTTTTAAATGCTCTCCTAGATAAAATGGATGTCTGCTTGGGTTTAACAATGGAGGATTAAGGGAAACTTTATTTTTGATGAATATTTTTCCAGATGTCACTGCCATGCCACACAGAGTAATGCTCTGTTGTCAAGGGTCTTCTGCCATTATGTGGCTGTGCTGAGTGACCTGAAAGTGCAGGAGGCACGCAGGGGAAACTGACAAAATTAAGAACCTAAGATTATTAAGGATTGTATTTATTACACAATATTATATAATTATGTTATTACAATGTTACCACGCAGAACAAAGTTACATTCTTGGATAGGGCTTGCCTGACTCGGGTAATGCAATACAGGAGCCCAAACTAAAAAGTGCTGCGTTCAGAAACTAACCCGAGTTCATACTTTTCTCTACAGAGCGACAGTTTGGATAAGTTTCCAACCTTGTCTCTTACGGACGAGCTTCGTAAGGTTAATAACACGGGTGAAAATAAGCAGCCCCCTCCTTTACTTTACTCCACGTTTCTCTACGAGGCAGGCTCCGGCACGGCGCTGTGCCTGCAGCCCCGCGCTCCCCGAGGCCGCCGCGGCGCATCGCCCGCCCCGCGAGGGGGAGGCAGCCGCGGGTGCAGGTGCGGCCCGCCCTAGGCGCGGCCCTCCCGCAGGTACTAATCGCCGCCCTGCCCTGCCGCCCGCCCGCATTCGCCGCCCCGCTGAGCCTCGAGTCGCCGCTCCCGGAGCGCGGCCCGCGCGGCCGGCATGCTGGGGGGCCAGCAGCAGCTGCAGCCCCTCGCGCTGCCCCCGCACCTCCAGCAGCAGCACCAGCAGCACCAGCACTACTACCGGCGCCAGCAGCACTACAGCACGCTGCCCGCCGCCCGCCGGCCCTGCCGCGAGCCGCCGCCGTGCCGCGAGCCGCCGCCGTGCCCGGAGCCGCCGCCGTGCCTCGAGCCGCCCGCCCGCCCCGAGCCGCCGCTCCCGCCGCCCTGCTTCGAGCCGCCGGCTCCGCAGCACCAGGAGGGCGGCCCGGCGTTCGACCGGGTGCGGACCTACGGTCCCGGCTGCCGGCGGGTCGGCGCGTCCTGCTCATCCCGCGCCTCCTCGCCGCTGGAGCGCTCGCACGGCCACCAGCAGCTCAGCGCCGGCTGCCAGCCGCCGCCGCAGGTACGGGCTCGGGTGGCGACTGCCGTCTGCGCGGAGCGGGGCCGAGCGCCTCGGTGCCGCCCCTCGGCCGTGCCCTTTACCTCCGCGGCGGTGCCGGGAGGCGCGGCTTCCCCTAGCAGGGAGAGGCGGCTGCGCGGTCCGTAGCCTCCAGATAGGCTCGGCCGTT